ATTCCTAATATCTTTGCAATAAAAATCATATGGGGGAAAAGAACTGGATACTTTCTGTGTCAGTGGTGCGGAGACTACAGTAGATATGAAGCAAATAGAATTTTTGAGAAATTAAATCAGCTTCCTACTCAACTAGCATTTGAGACACGACATCTTTTGAACATTGTGCTCAAACTATTAAAAATGGATATTCAAAAAGCTTATTTTAAAGACATATAATTTAAACGATAATAAACATGAATTATTGAAAATAATTATATAATGTAATAGTGTGATGACATCAAAAGTTTTAACCTCAATAACCCTCTAAGTAGCATAAAACTATCTTTTTTTAAAAAAAATCTGATGTATAGAAAGATAGCTCAATAGCACCACCATGTGAAATTACAGTAAGTCAGCTAATGTTTGGGATTTTTTAAAAATGCAAGCAACATCTTTAAATTTTCCATTATCAGTCATTTAGATGGGGGAATCCATAATTAGCAAAGATTTCATTTATCAGCATGTGTCAAAGGATTTTCTTAAGGAATAAAAAATAATTGAAGATAAAAAAGTAGTGAAAAAGGAGAATATGGCTTTTCCCCATAAAAGTTCTTTCCGACTCATAGAAACATCACTCATTTGTCTCATGATGGGCAATGATAAAAATAGAGATTAATAAAAACACATCCACATTTTGCAAAACCACAGCTCCAGCAACAATTTGACTGAACTTAAGGAAGCCCTATCTCTGATAGGCTTTGCATCAAACTTTTGTGAAACATCACACTGCAAAAAAGGTCTCTGTGTCCAAATAACCATCTCTTTGAAATCGCCTTGTGCGTTAATGTCCGCATCCCAATGTAGTGTCACGTACCAGTATCTTGCGTGACATAGCTTTCATTGAGGAATCACCAAAGTGAATGCATAAGCGAGCCCAAAGCAGCTATTTATATTCTTTTCATTTTGGCTTAGGACAAAGTAACTGTGGAGTGTGAAATTATCAAAGTCTTTCCAATAATATTTCCCGATATACACCACTCAAATGAACTCCTTTAGCAAAATGAAACCATATCCATTATCCCAGCATGTCTCCTGGCTCAACTTTCAATAGCTACATGCCAAGCTTGAACAGAATTGAAATATACCTGCTTTTTACTTTAACAATGCAGTAAGTACCCATGTTTTTTTTTTCATTTCAAAATGTTGATACCTAGCACAGAAAACGTACAATGTTTTATCTGTTTACTAAAACAGGAAAGCTTAGAGAAGACAACGATGTTGGGGAAAATGGAAGGAAAAAGGAAGAGGGGCCAACCGAGGGCAAGATGGATGGATGGTATCCTTGAAGTGACTGGCTTGACTCTGAAGGAGCTGGGGGTAGTGACGGCCGACAGGGAGCTCTGGCGTGGGCTGGTCCACGAGGTCACGAAGAGTCGGAAGTGACTGAACGAATAGACAACAACCAAAACTCTGTACTCTTAAATTTTAGTGGGATTCTTTAACATACATTATTTTGAAATCTTTATTATTCAATCAAAACCTCCATATTGGGGGGGGGGGGGTTGTACATTTTATTTTTTTTAACGAATGGGATCGTAGTATGCGACTGTGATTATGCGACCTTAGATCGTAATATGCGACTGTGATTCCATAAAAATCTAAAGCTCATTTGACTGTAACAAGACAAGCTAGAATTCTTGCCCGATGACTTGGAAGATGTGTACTGTCTTTAGGGGTTTCTTGCCATATGCTTGCTCTCCTTCGAAGCAGAATAACAGCATGCCCAAAATAGTTACACTGTGGGTTTTTAAGGTCCATTTTTTTTCTTTTAAATCTGAAATGCCTACACATCATAGCTCCACAAAGCATTACAAGAAAAACCTGAGACATCTTCTTAAGTGGCCAGAAGTTCAAGGTATAGGAGAAATGGGTATATCCTGATTCCTAAATCAGCCTCACTAGGTTAAGGTAAATGTTTTCCTCTGACATTAAGTTCAGTCATATCTGACATTAAGTCCAGTCATATCCGACTCTGGGGGTTGGTGCTCATCTCCATTTCTAAGCCGAAGAGCCGGCGCTGTCCATAGAAGAAGAAGTTTATTTTTCTACCCTGCCTCTATCTCCCCAAGGGGACTCGGGGTGGCTTACATGTGGCCAAGCCCAGGCAACATACAATTAAAAGCAAAACAACAGCAAGTTACAAATTAAAAAGACACAAAACAGCATAACAGTAATAAACAAGCCTCCAAGGTCATGTGGCCGGCATGGCTGCATGGAGCGCTGTTATCTTCCCGCCAGAGCAGTACCTATTGATCTACGCACATTTGCATGTTTTCAAACTGCTAGGTTGACAGAAGCTGGGGCTGACAGTGGAAGCTCACGCCGCTCCCCACATTCGAACCTGCGACCTTTCTGTCAACCAGTTTAACAACTCAGTGGTTTAACCCACTGCACCACTGAGGGCTCACTAGCTGCCCAGCAATTGTTCAGGACTGAAGTCCAAAGAAGTGCAGGGACACCTATTGCCATATTGTCTCTTTTCTACCTGCTTGAGATGCAAGCCCTGTGTGGGATTTTGCTGGTAGACAGGGCAACTGATTTCTAAATAAATGAAAGTGTTTCCAAGCTGTCTCGGGAAATAAAATAACAATTCCCTAAAAATTCCAGTGTGCCCTCCCGGAATAAGGAAATAATTCCCAGCAAAATGTCATCAGAATGCACTTTAACTATGCGTTGGATTGCGCTCCCCTCACTTCTTTTAAAACCCTCCTACCAGAAGATATATCCTACCTTGTTTATGCCCAGCGTTTATTTTTTGATTTTAAACTATTACATTTGGCCTGGCAATAGGTTTTTAAATCCATGTGGGTTAATGTTTATATGTGATTTATATCAATTGTATTGTTTTTGTTTATTGCTTTCTTGTTTTATTGATGTGTTGTTGGGCTTGGCCTCATGTAAGCCGCTCTGAGTCCCTTGGGGAGATGATGGCGGGGTATAAATAAAGTTTTATTATTATTATTATTATTATTTGATGGCAGGAACAGTATGGCGAAAGGGGAGGGAAACTGGAGAGGAGGATGTTGAGTCAGAGCAGTCAAAAAAATATTACCATCTAGGAGAGCTAATTCAATATGCACTTACACAAGATCTGAATGCCGCTTACATATCAGATAGCATTTTAACCAAGAAGCAATTTGATCTCATCACCAACAAACCCTCTGGTTTGAATGCTGTTCATCTATGGGAGGAAAATGACAGAGATCACGTTCCAGGAAATGAATCAATCCACCTTCTATGCCATATGTATTGCAACTTTGTGAAAGAAATGTACTCACCAGATACGCACAAATGCATGCCCAGAGTCAATATACTTCATGAATTTTTAACAGATGATAGATCCACAACCACTTTTGTCTTTGAAGTCACAAGAACAACCTGCCAAGGGATGCTAGAAATGCTTTCCAATGAGCAATCCAATCTTACTTTCTTCAGTATAATCCATTGAGGGATTTCCCAGAGAAGAAAAATAAGAATATTCCCTAAATTCAGTGCACTTCCCGACACTAAAAAAGAATTAGTGCATTGATTTTAAAATACTTCAAATCAATTTTGTTCCCTTTAATTAAAAAAATATTCCTTCTATGAATGACCACATTCCAACAGATTTGGAAGCACATAATCAATAGGTTTTCAAGCATACTTAATTCTATGGGTTATGCCCAACAACTTCAAGAAACAGTTCAATATAGAACATACTTGTTTCTCTTGGACTTCTTTGTATCCCCTATTTTATTCTTTCAAAAAGAAACCATACATGTCTAGCTGCCCATGTTAATTTGCTGATAGAAAACTAAGAATGTAAATCAGGGGTCCTCAAACCTTTTAAACAGAAGGTCAGGTCACAGTCGCTCAAATTGTTGGGCCGGATTATAATTTGAAAAAAAAAAACATAAATGAATTCCTATGCACACTGCATATATCTTATTTAAAATGAAGAACAATTTTAACAATTATAAACTTATTAGTATTTCAATGGGAAGTGTGGACCTGCTTTTGGCTGATGAGATAAGATTGTTGTTGTTGTTGTTGTTGTGTGCTTTCAAGTCATTTCAGACTCAGGTTGACTCTGAGCGAGGGCCAAGTAAAAGACCTTGGAGGCCGTATCTGGCCCTCGGGCCTTAGTTTGAGGACCCCTGATGTAAACAATGAGAATCATCATTCTAACACTTTATAGAGATTGGCAGCCTGTAAAAAGTGGAGGCCCTTGAAAAATTCTTCATCTATCTCTAAGCATTGTTTCCAATTGTTTGCTCCTAATGGAAAAGTGATGCATTGGATACAACTCTATAAGAGTTAGCCGCGGAAGTGAAACAAGGAGGATCTGAATGCCCAATCCTACATCTGTTTCTGCTGAATTCCTACTGTGTTCAGTGGAATAATTTCAAGTAAAAATATAATATGTAGGAATGCAGCACTGATGAAACCCTACCCAGTTGCCTCAAAGGTAGTTTAAAACGCATTTTATCTAATGAGTCATAATCCTGGAAAGGTGTACATAAAACTGTTGTCTTAGTGAATGATGCATTTCAACAGATTTTATGTTTTGCAAAGCCACCTTCTATTTAGTGTGCCTTACATGCAAATCTAGAATCCAACATTGATTAGATTAACTATAACCATCCGGTATAACAGACTGCTATTTTATAAAGCAATGTTATCCATGTCTACTCAAAAGAAAGTCCTACTGACTTCAATTGGTGCAGGATTGGCTGTACCTACCAAGTGAGTAGGTACAAGCTGTAATCTTGAAATATACTTCTCAAGATCCCCATTGTGCTGCTTCCATCTGTCATTTTTCTCATCAGGAACTATTCATCTTTTGGTGTCTGACTCACAATAGAGCCTGGAAAAATCAACCTTTCAATCTGGTCATAAAATCTGGGGGTTATTCAATACGCATTGTCACAGGAGATTGTCACAAAACAAAAACAGTGGATAAAACAGCATAAAAAGTATGAAAATCAAAACCTCTTGGCCTTATTTATACTGATTCCAGTTGTGTGTTACATACAGGTAAACACGTAGAGATGCATTGCATACGTTTCCAAGGTAAGACATTTAAAATGACTATTATAATGTAAACAAATCCCTTCATTCACAGTGGTTCGGATATATGAATGAAATCTCCCTGATGTTATGTTTACTGATTCGCAGCAAGTGACATTTATAAAAAAATAGTTCAATTGCAAAGATAGTGCATCAGATTATTAAATCGATCCCAATCACACACAAAACACCGACACACAGAGATATTTTGTTTTCTAAGTATACAGCCTCCAATTTTGTAAAGCAAGTCCTAGAATTTGGTCTTCTTGAAAACTTCACCACATAAATCTCTGTATTTCATCACTATCTGGCCACTGAAATGGTTTGTTCAAAAATAAATGGAATGTCACTGCATTCACCAAAAGATACAAGATGAACTCAAGGAAAAGTTTCGAAGTTGATGGCACAGGAATGTTCAGTCTAAATATCATATATGGCAAAATGAAATAACGAAATTCTAGCAGCTTCTGGGGAACTGTAGCTGCAAATAAACATACAAAATATACTAAATTCCAGAAGATGGATTTTGACTTGAGTGCATCTGTGAAACTCCAGCCAGCAAATATATAGACTGGAACTAACAAATACTTCACAAGTTCGTGTCGTTGAAAGATTTTTCTCCACACATAAAATGTGTAATGTCTGTTATCTGCAAGCAGATATTTATGGGCAAATGTAAACTTCCACACAAACAACAAAGAGACAACGGTGAGGATGGTATATTGCAATATATGCGTCTTCACAGAATGACAAAAATTCACAATTTTGCCCAGGTTCAGCAAGTGAGGAAAAGAAAAAAAGAGAGTAAAAGAAAGAAAGTAGAAGATCTGGGGGAAATGAAGACAGGCTTCGTGGCTACTCCTGTCACCTACCACAATGCCACCATTGAGGACCACAAAAATAAAAAACACCATCACTAACGTGATGTATGGCCAAGTCAGACGAATAAGTGTGCTCAAGTTTTTAAATGAAGTGAGGTATTCAAGGAGAAACCTGATGGCCATCATTAGTTCTCTGAAGGACCCCTTTGGGGCGAAGTTCTTTTGGTCTTTGCTTTTCGATTGTTCTGCCTTCCAGGCTTCGCTGAGTTTTTGTGCCACAAGACTTCCAGCACAGAACACAGTCCATACAATGTTTGTCTGACGAAACATGAAGCCACAAAATCCAAGCAGGGCAGAGGTTTTGTGATTGCCGTACAGGCACATTAAGTATGCAAAAAGAGTAAAAAATGTAGAACCTGTATCAGTATAATAAAGGAATGTAAAAAAATAAAGAGTTGGAAAAATGGCTAAGGTCAAAGTCGATAAGATTCTTTGGAAGCCAGAGGCAGCCTGCAGAGGGCACAAAAAGAAGGAAACAGATCAGGACTATAATAATAACAACAACAATAATCTTTATTTATACCCCGCCACCATCTCCCCAATGGGGACTCAGAGTGGCTTACATGGGGCCAAGCCTAACAACATATTACAACAAAATAAAACCAGAGCATAAACAATAAACATCAAATTACATCAAGAAAAAAGAAAAAAATATAAACACAGTCATAAAATAACATTCCAATAAGCACAATAACAATCATCAGTTGGTGACCCCCTTCACGGATTAAGAACAAGAGGCAAATTTTTGTGATCTATCAAAAAATTTGTTTTCCATGCAAACATCAATAAAATGGAAGTAACATTTAAAAAATTATTTCCAGCATTCTGTGAGAGAGCATTTTAATTAAAAGGTCAAATCTGGGTGAGTGAGGTATCTATGCCTTCAAGTTGCCTGTGAATTTCATACAGTTGTCTTAGGTAAACAATACTCAGAGATGGTTTGGCATTGCCTTCCTCTGAAATATAGTTTAAGGTTCTAAACACTAAAAATGGGGGGGGGGGGGGCTGATCAAACAAATGAATTATACACATTGAATTTGATCAATTTATTGGGGTGATGTGGTTTCTGAGATGTATGGTCATGTTCTAGCAGCATTTTCTACTGATGTTTTACCTGCTTCTGTGACTGGCATCTTCAATAAACTTAATTTATTGATTACTTTTGCATATGAGTTAAAATAGGTTTGATTCCATGTTAGTTCTTCCTAGATACTCCAATGAATGTTACTTTGAGTACAACTGATGTCTCACTAAATGGGCCTATTACAGGGAGAACTATCATTGAAATTAACTCGGTATTTTTGATCAAAAAGTATGGCTTTTAGATTATGTAAGTACGTGAAACAGCAGACATCATCTTAAGAACCACTTTCTATCACCTCCTGCAGATGAATTTATTTTTTATTTATTTATTTGCGACATTTATTTGCTGCCCTTCTCACCCCGATGGGGACTCAGAGCGGCTTACAAGATAGATATACATACAATATATTATATTATTAGCATAGTACAATATCCGTATTATATATTACTATATTGCCATTATATTGTAATATTATTAGTAATGTTACATGTAATATAAATATATAATTATAATATCATATTAGTAGTAGTAGTATTATATTGTATTACATTATAATATTATAAATACTATATGTATATACAATATATTATATTATATTATATTATATTATATTATATTATATTATATTATATTATATTATTAGCATAGCACAGGAGACAAGGTGGAACTGTCTTCTAGCCCCCTCTCTCTTCACTCTGGCCTAGAGCAGCAGTTGGTGCTGGCAGAAGGGGTCCCCTACTGATGACACATGCAGGAAACAAGATGGAACTGTCCCCTGCCCCCTCCCCTTCACTCTGGCCCAGAACAGCAGTTGGAGAACCTTTTTTCTAACTTCGTGGCTTTAATTGTCATTTCTATAACCAGATGTATTAAAAACAGCATTTTTGTTGTTTTTTTTCTCCTCAAATTTCAACTTGTTTAATTGAGAATACTTTTTTTCTGTGAGCAAGTATTTAGCCCCCGATACCTTCCTGTCCAGCCCACAGTTTTTCCTCTATTTTGTGACTTTGTACCAAATTATATATTTTTCTTTACTGCATTCCTATGCTAGGCAAGGATAAAGAGGGTTTTATTTTCAAAAGTCAGAATGGAAGAACGTATGTATGTGGACAGATGGATGGCTCATTGTTAGAGAGAATTATGGTGTTCAAATCAAGGGTGAAGGTGATAACAGAAGAGGGAAGAGAATGAAAATGGTGCAAAGAGAAGATAAATGTGTGCATTCATGTGTGAGGGAGGGAAAAGCAGGAGGCAAAAAGAAAAGAGAAATATGATGAGAATGATGGGAATATGGCCAAATGTATGCCTACACGAAAGAAAGAGAAATTGTGCTCAAGCAGAAAAGGGGGTTCCCTGACCACTTCTGATATTGGGTTTATATATTCCCAGCCTTAAGCTCCAACTACTGCAGTACTAAAACTACTTTCCCATCAGTGAAATGGTCCCTGGCTTTAAACTGCTCCATCCTCTAGCATCAAGGATTCCAGTCTTATTAGAAAACAGCACTTCTGATTAAAAAGGCGACAAATTAAATGAATTTATGTCCTAAATTTGCTTAATACTTTATTTATTTATTTACTGGGCCAGAATGAAGGGGGGGGGCAGGGGACAATTCCATCTTGTCTCCTGCATATGTCATCAGCTGGAGACCCTTCCCCCAGCACCAACTGCTGCTCTGGGCCAGAGTGAAGGGGGGGGGGGCAGAAGACAGTTCCAACTTGTCTCCTGTGCTATGTTAACAATATAATGTAATGTAATATATTGTATATACATATAATACTTATAATATTATAATGTAATGCAATATAATACTAATAATATGATATTATAATTATATATTTATATTATATGTAATATTACTAATAATATTACAATATAATGGTATAGTGCAATATAGTAATATATAATATTGATATTGTACTATGCTAATAATATAATATATTGTATGAAAATATATATTGTAAGCCGCTGAGTCCCCTTCAGGGTGAGAAGGGCATCATTATTACATTTATTATTTTACTCTATTATTATTACATTTATTTTTCTCTATTATAATTTATTACATTTTATTTACTCTATTATTATTATTATTATTATTATTATTATTACATGTATTATTTTACTCTATTATTATTATATTTACATTATATTACTCCATTATTATTTTTTTACATTTATTATTTTACTCTTTATTCTTATTATTATTTTATTACATTTATTTTTACTCTATTATTACATTTACACTATTTTACTCTATTATTATTTATTACATTTATTATTTTACTCTATATATTACTGTTTTGATTACATTATTATTTTATTATTATTTATTATTATTATTTTTATTATTATTACATCTATTATTTTTTTTATCGCATTTATTATTTTGCTCTCTTTATATGAAGGACGGTTAGAATACAATGGTGAATCAGAATTGGCAGTCTATCTTAAATTACAGTTTTATGTAAATACTCAAAAACATTTAACCTCCTGATGATTACCAGTAGCAGCTACATTTCGCACCCTCCAGTCAATACGTTTTTCCAGTTTTTTGTGGTAAAATTAGGTGTCTCGGCTTATATTCGGGTCAGCTTGTACTCAAGTATTATACAGTATATCTTGTAAGATGCTCTCAGTCTCCTTCAGGATGAGAAGGGCCGCATATAAATGTCGTAAATAAATAAATCAATGCTACTTTAAGAATGCTAAAAGTAGTTTAACTCCTTCCAGAATACTAAAGCAACCAATATCTTTATGGCTGCAGCAATAATAAAAACCGGCTCACTTAGTCAAGGAGTCACAGGTGCTATATTAAGCCTGCCTCCAAAAGACTTCCTCCTAATTTTAGAAGAATGGGAAAACAGCATAATCTGGGCTGCTGGGAAATAGTATGTTATTACAGAACAAGAACAGACTACAACAGTAAGGCAAAGTTCCGGATTTTGATGAAACCTTGTCACGTTGATCTGGAATACTATTTTAAGCATAGTACACTTGTACCGTACCTTTTTATGGTGCATCCTGCAAAACAGCAAATATAACAGGTAGAAGTTCCCAATGCTGAAGAGAAGATTGATGAATCTGAGCATTCCTGTTGAGCAGACGATGCTTCCAGACCACCCAAAGAGCCATGCGGCAGGCTTCACAATTCCCACTGACACCAGGTATAAACCGGGTAGTGTTGTTATCATTGGGTCCCACTAGACAAAATAGGAAAAGGTAAAGTTAGAAGACAATGACTTCAAGTGGTTAAGGAAATATATTCTTAGAAAAACAGAAGGCAAAATCAATACATTCAATTAAACCCCTCTTTTCAGCACTCTCCTGTGTATCATGAAAAATGTAGATTCCTACATCTGATGAAACAGGCAAAAGTTCATAAACGTATGCTAGACAAAACATATTCGTATTTTGAGTGCCACAACATACTTCATTGTTGTTTTTGCTGAAAAAGTCTGAAAGCTTATATGTTTTTCTCTTATGAAGAATTTTAAGTGGTTGAAATGCACATGACATTCATACATCTCATCAGAGAGATCGTGGTGCCCAATTTACACATTACATGGGCAATATTTAAAAGGAAGTACAGGTAGTTCCAAGTTACAAACAAGATAGGGTCTTCAATATTTATTTTTTATTTATTTATGTCATTTTTATCCCGCCCATTTCAGCCCAAAGGTGACTCAGGGTGGCGTACAAACCGGCAACAATTAGATGCCATATATAATACATACATATCAGTTAAAAGCAGTTAAATCACATCATAATACATATAAAAACCAAAGGAGCAATAAAAACACTAAAAATCTATAAAACCATGTCTTCAATTCCATTCCATAGGTTCTATCGGTTTGTATATATACATTCATGCTTTGGATAGCATGGGGAAGGGTTAACACCCCTGTAGTGTTTGTTTTGCTGTCTGTACAGATTTCACCTCACTTTCTGTCCCTGTGATAACTGGATTTTGAAAAATGTGTTTTGTTGCGGAAACAAGGATTGGTGATAAAAGCTTCAGTGGAGACACTTTCCCCCCATGATAATAACTCTTCCAGAAGTGGATTTCCCTTCCAAAGGGTAGATTTCCTCTCACTTCCTATTGTCCCACCTCCATTCTTAACTATGAGTTGTTTGTAACTCAGGGACTGCCTGTATTAATAAAGTAAATAAACTTATTTTGTCTCCACAATGCCATACAGACATGAAACACTCATTTCCATAAAGAAGGAAAAGAAACCAAGAATTGTATCGTGTGATATTCCTACCAAAACGTTCCCTGTCCGAACATCTCTCCCTCTATGATCCACCTCGGAGGTTAAGATCATCAGGGGAGGCCCTGCTCTCAGTCCCACCCCCCTTAGAAGAACAACTGATGTGGACGAGAGACAGGGCTTTCTCAGTGGTGGCCCCTTGTCTGTGGAACTCCCTCCACAGTGAAATTAGATTGACCCCCTTCCTCCTGACCTTCAGAAAGAAACTAAAAACTTGGCTCTGGGGTCAGGCTTTTGATCAATAATGGGAGCAAGGTAATAAGAGATTATAAATTAATTTTAATGATGACCCGGAGTGGCCTTGGAATATGACCTGGACTATGTGATTTTTAATGTGCTGTTTTAATGTTATGTTTTAATTGGATGGTTTTAATATTTTGTTTATCCATTGATGTATGTAAACATGCGGCACTGAATTATTGCCTTTGTAAAGCCGCCTCGAGTCCCCTTCGGGGTTGAGAAAGGCAGGATACAAGTATGGTAAACAAATAAATAAATCTACAAAGCTTTCAGAAATAATATGAGGGAAGTAAATATAAATATTTATTTATATTTTTTATATTTATATTTATTTATATATCTTAAATATTTATTCATCATTCAAAAAGAAATAATTCCATAATCCATTTTTGATTTTTTTTTTCCAGGATCAATGGCTTCAGGGGGGAAATGGGAAAAGTATTTTCCCCAGTCTTTTCAGTTTTCTTATGTAGCATCACATCTCTAGAATAAACTGCTTTATCTGAGAGTTCCTTCTTCCTCCAGTCCTTGTCTCAACCAGAGGATTTGGGGTCCCCCAGTCAAATTTCCCTTCGCTTTTAATAATGCTGCATTTGAATGTCAAGTTCCTTCACGATTTGGAATGAATTTTCCAATTAACTTGTGATTGCTTAGCAAGGTTTTTCTAGAGTTTAACCCAACTGACTAGATTCCTCAGATTACAATGAGATTAGAAATACAATTTAGTTAATTACATTGCTAGAATTTGTTTAGTGGGTAATCTTGTCACACTCAACAAAAGATCTGCAGCTTCAGGAGAAGAAATATCAGAACTAGAGGAAATGCATACCATGACTTTGTTGTTAGGGAGGCTAATCTATGTATCTCTTTGGAAACACAGTAGAGAGGGAAGAGATTTTTTTCTGAAGGCCAAGTCATAGAAGAAAACAATTGAAAAAAAGAGGAGTGTCATGGAAATGGGGATTGGGATGGGATGGAGAGGGTAGTTTCTTTGTTTAGTTCCACAAGTAGCAAGGATCCTTTCAGAATGCCCAACTCATCCATCTATATAAATAAAAATGTAATGTTCGGGTTGATACTAAATTGACACTAAATTTGGACACAAGACACCTATCAGGCCAACGAATGACCATCACCCATAAACATACTGAAAAACACAGAGGAAATGACTTAAAAAGCAAAAAAAAAATACACACAAAGCACATATACACAGACTGGGCTACAGCAACGCGTGGCAGGGTACGGCTAGTCTATATAAATAAAAATTTAATGTTCGTTTGTGGGATTAGCATAACTCAAAAACCACTGGATGAATTGCCACCAAATTTGGCCACAAGATACCTACTAAGCTAAGGAGTGACCATCACTCAAAAATTTTTGATTTTGTCATTTGGGAGTTGTAGTTACTGGGATTTATAGCTAAACTACAATCAACGAGCATTCTGGACTCCACCAGTGATAGAATTGAACCAAACGTGGCATACAGGACTCTAATGACTAACAGAAAACACTAGAAGGGTTTGGTGGGCATTGACCTTGAGTTTGGGAGTTGTAGTTTGCCTACATCCAGAGAGCACTGTGGACTCAAACAATGATGGATCAAGACCAAACTTGGCACGAATATTCCAAATGCCCAAATATGAACACAGATGGAGTTTGGGGGAAATAGACCTTGACATTTGGGAGTTGCAGTTGTTGGGATTTATAGTTCACCTACAATCAAAGAGCATTCCGAACCTCACGAACGACAAAATTGGGGCAAACTTCCCACACAGAACCCCCATGACCAACAGAAAATACTTAAAGCCATCCAGTCCAACTCCCTTCACCAGGGCAAGAAAACGTAATCAAAACCCTCCTAACAAAGAGCCATCCAGCCATAGATATAGATAGATAAGTATGATTCACACACAGAGAGAGATATAGTATCATAGATTTGAAAGGGACCCCTAACGAAGGACAATTATATGTTGCATGTTCCAGAGTGGGCAAACCAGACAATCTCCACATCAACACTGACAAAGAAACAGCAAAAAATACTGTTTACCCACAAGCATAAAGACATTATATATATCAGAAATCAACACTTTCTCGTTACTTTATTTTCCAGATCAACAGACGGAGCCACAGCAACGTGTGACAGGGGACGGCTAGTCAGTTCATATGGAAGGGAAATGTTTGCAGTCTTTTAGAAGAGTGGTGTGTACTGGTATTTTTACGTAACTCCCAGTTTAATAATTGTCTTGTATAAAGTTATTTGGGATGAGCTGCTATGAATCTCTTTGATTTCTCTTCCTCATCTCTATTACTGTTCTTTTCCTCCACATTCAACAACCTGCTAACAAGAGAGAAGGGAAGTTAGGGAAGCTAGGGCAGTTGCCACTCTTACTCAGTTAAAACAGCTGCATACCCTTTTGGGATGGGAATGGTAGTTCAAAACGAGTTTTCCGTGAAATGTCATGTTCCTTTTAAAAGAAGTATGGTATATAGCCCACATTCTCTTTGACATTTGGAGATGCATATGCTTCTTTGCTAACAAATTATTATTGAAATGAGGTTTTTTTTTCTCAATGACTCATACTGGATCCGATATACGTTATATTGTTTCAGAGGGACTTACTCTGAGTGGAGAAGATTCTAATCTTGCATTACAATCTCACAATCATGTATTCGAGAATAAGTCCCGGTGTACTCAATGAGGTTTACTACAAAATAAAAATGCAAAGGACTACACTGTTAATGTGCTTTTCCTTTGATGTGTCAAGACCCTGCCATATGACAGCCAATAAATAGAGTGGATAAGGAAAAAGGGAAACAGGGAAATGGACACTTTAGAACAGGAGACCTCAACCATTAATTCTCCAGCTGTTTTCTACTTCAATTCCCAGATGCCTCCACCAACATGGCCCATGACTACAGCTTCTGGAAGATGAAGTCCAAAACATCTGGAGGATGAAAGGTTGAGAGGCATTGGTTTAAAGAGATTAGAATTGGAATCCTTCAGGTTGGGCTAATAAGAGCACTGTAATGCAGTGGAAACTGCAATTTCACTGTGGATTGAGCTTAAAGGTATGTTACACAGGTACAGCTTAATGTAGATACAGCTTAATGGTATAACATTAGAAAACGTTGACCATTTCCGCTACCTTGGCAGCCACCTCTCCAAAGTCAACATCGACACTGAAATACAACACCGCCTGAGCTCTGCGAGTGCAGCATTTTTCCGAATGAAGCAGAGAGTGTTTGAGGATCAGGACATCCGTAGGGATACCAAGGTGCTTGTTTATAAAGCTATTGTCCTCCCAACCCTGCTATATGCCTGTGAAACATGGACTGTCTACAGATGTCACATGCAACTCCTGGAACGATTCCATCAGCACTGCCTCCAGAAAATCCTGCAAATCTCTTGGGAAGACAGGCGGACAAACATCAGCGTGCTGGAAGAAGCAAAGACCACCAGCACTGAAGCGATGGTACTCCGCCATCAACTCCGCTGGACCGGCCACGTTGTCCAGATGCCCGACCACTGTCTCCCAAAGCAGTTGCTCTACTCCGAACTCAAGAACGAAAAACAGAATGTTGGTGGACAGGAAAAGAGATTTAAAGATGGGCTCAAAGCCAACCTTAAAAACTCTGACAGACATTAGAACTGGGAAGCCCTGGCCCTTGAGCGCTCCAGCTGGAGGTCAGCTGTGACCAGCAGTGCTGTAGAATTTGAAGAGGCAAGAATGGAGGGCGAAAGAGAGAAATGTGCCAAGAGGAAGGTGCATCAAGCCAACCCTCACTGGGACCACCTTCCGTCTGGAAACCGATGTCCTCACTGCGGTAAAATATGCAGGTCAAGAATAGGGCCCACAGTCACCTATGTATCCACCGCCAGGACATTACACTTGAAGGACAATCCTGCTCGGACAACGAGGGATCACCTAAGTAAGTAAGTAAGACTGATACTGTTTGTAAAAGACTCCACTCTACTGTCACTGGAGGCATATGTATTACTCAAATCTGAGATGAGGGGATATTATGGGGCTCGGCGGTTGCGTCCTCCTCCTTCTTCTCTTTTTCCTCTTTCCTCCCTTCTTGCTTCCCCCTTCCTTTTTCCCTTTTCAGGACAAGCTGAGGGCCAGAACTTCTTCAAGCAACAAGAATAACTGGATCTTCGGCTCACTCTTGTTTGACAAAATTGGTATGCCAAATTTCTTTTGACTAGAAGCTGGTCACTTAGAGTGCTTCTGGTGTCGCTGTATGAAGGCCCTCCATTGTGCATGTCGCAGGACTCTGGTTGCATTGTAGTAGGTGGTCTGTGGTTTGCTCTTTGGTAGAAGAGTAGAAGTCCAAAAGGAAACCTATACTCGCTACAGAATAAAACGCTTTGCAGAGTATACTGACCAACAAAGACTAGCTGATCCACCTCTCGAGAACATTGTTGGTGAACCACTTACCTCAAAAATTGAGCCCTTCTTTTGAGAGTAAAGATAAAGGTAGTCCCCTGACATTAAGTCCAGTCATGTCTGACTCTGGGGTGTGGTGCTCATCTCCATTTCTAAGCCGAAGAGCCAGCGTTGTCCATAGACAACTCCAAGGTCATGTGGCCGGCATGACTGCATGGAACGCCGTTACCTTCCCACCTGAGCGGTACCTATTGATCTACTCACATTTGCATGTTTTCGAACTGCTAGGTTGGCAGAAGCTAGGGCTGACAGCGGAAGCTCACGCCACTCCCTGGAATCGAACCTGCGACCTTTCGATTAACAAGCTCAGCAGCTCGGTGCTTTAACCCACTGTGCCACCGGGGGCTCCTCTTCTTTTGATAGATGAGCCTTTTTCGATAAATGAACCCAACCGCCTGACAAAGGCTCTTGTGAGTCAAAACCGGTTGCAGGTTGGTGTCGACTTGTGTGTAATGAAGGGAATAGGACACCTATTGTGACTACTGGAGTCTACTCGTGTGCAATAAAGAATAGGACATTTATGGTCATTCAAGGACTATTCTTACTCACATATTTTGTTTCATACTTCAAGAGAAGAACCAATTATTTCTGCTTAATGTGAATGTGGCAGCTCTGTGTTTTGTTGATATGTGTATTTGTGATATATACATTGAGTTAATTTAGATACTTTCACGTTACCACAATCAGTGGATTTTGGTCTCCACAGTTTTAAGGGAACCCATTTTTCTTTTCAGTAAAAGTCCAAAAGGCCCAGAGGGCCGAAGTTTGCTCGTGCCTGCTCTGTACCTATCATGTATCTAGCTTATCTGGCTGGAGTTACACTTTTAAATGTATCTGTTCCGACTTACAAACAAATTCAACTTAAGAACAAACCTACAGAACCTGTCTTGATTAACAAAAAATCTTATAAGCCAGGCATGGGCGAACTTGGGCCCTGCAGGTATTTTGGACTTCAACTCCCACAATTCCTAACAGCATACCGGCTGTTAGGAATTGTGGGAGTTGAAGTCCAAAATACCTGGAGGGCCCAAGTTCGCCCATGCCTGGCTTAGGAGACGTCACGAAATTACTCCTAGCCTAGCCAGGCGAGTGCACGCGAGGAGGCGGCTGAGGGTGAGCTAGGCCTCTTTCCTCCCTCCCTCTTTCCCTTCCTACCTGCTGGAAGCGCCCCTCGCAGTAGGCCCGGGCCTGGGCGACGTGGAAGGCCTCGTCCATGTAGGGCGCGCGCTGCTGGCGGCTGAGGGCCGAGAAGAGCAGGCAGGAGGCCAGGAAGGCGCCGCTGAAGGCCGCCGAGAAGCAGTAGGCCTCCGAGCGCTCCATCCTCCAGCCGCAGAGGAGACAGGCCCGCGCTTCTCTTCAAGCCTGCGCTCTGTGGCGGAAGGTGGAGCCCGGCGCCGCTCGGCTCCCCACCCCTTCCTTCCCGCCCTCCCTCCCAGGCCTGTAGAATCGGGGCCCAAGAAGGCCTTCACCCCCCTCCCCTCAATATAGGCCGGTTTGCTGGAGAGAGAGACATCTAAACGCGGTAGGTTGCAGACTGCCCAGGCTCTGGGATCCTGGGAGTTGTAGTTTGGGGAGGCGCCTGCCTTCTTTGACCCTCTTCCTTTCTCCCAGCTGTATCAAATCCACGTTGAGCTGGGTTATGTGGCAGTGTGGAATCAGATAACCCAGTCAAAGCAGATATTGTGGATTATATTATAATATTATAACATTATAATACAATAATAGTAATATATTATCTACTAGCCATCCCCTGCCACGCGTTGCTGTGGCCCAGTCTCTGTTTATGTGTTTTGTGGGTGTATTTATGTGTGTGATAAAATAGTAAAGAGCAGAGACATCAGACTGGCAACAAAGATCCGCCTAGTCAAAGCCATGGTATTCCCTGTAGTAACCTACGGATGTGAGAGCTGGACCTTAGGGAAGGCTGAGCGAAGGAAGATCGATGCTTTTGACCTGTGGTGTTGGAGGAAAGTTCTGAGAGTGCCTTGGACTGCGAGAAGATCCAACCAGTCCATCCTCCAGGAAATAAAGCCCGACTGCTCATTGGAGGGAAGGATACTAGAGACAAAGTTGAAGTACTTTCGCCACATCATGAGGAGACAGCAAAGCCTAGAGAAGACAATTATGCTGGGGAAAGTGGAAGGTAAAAGGAAGAGGGGCCGACCAAGGGCAAGATGGATGGATGGCATCCTTGAAGTGACTGGACTTGACCTTGAAGGAGCTGGGGGTGGTGATGCCTGACAGGGAGCTCTGGCGTGGGCTGGTCCATGAATGAGGTCACGAAGAGTCAGAAACAACTGAACGAATGAACAACAAATTATTTTATATGGATTGTAATGTATTTTTGCTTTTTTGGCTTTTTAAGTCCCTTCCACTGTGTTTTTCCATGTTTTTATGAGTGATGGTCACTCGTTGGCCTGATATTGTGTCCAAATTTGGTGTCAATTCGCCCAGTGGTTTTTGAGTTATGTTAATCTGTGCTACTCTGCTGCTGAGTATGCATGCCCAGTTTGGAACACATCTCACCACACTAAAACAGTGGATGTGGCTCTTAATGAGACATGCCGCATTATCACGGGGTGCCTGCGCCCTACACCACTGGAGAAATTACACTGCTTAGCCGGTATTGCACCACCTGACATCCGCCGGGAAGTAGCAGCCAATAGTGAAAGGACCAAGGCAGAGACATCTCCAGTTCATCCCCTGTTTGGGTATCAGCCAGCACGTCAACGACTTAAATCCAGAAATAGTTTTCTAAGATCTACAGAGACACTCGCTGGAACACCTCAGCAAGCGAGAGTCCAAAAGTGGCAGGCTCAAACCCAGAACCTCAACCAATGGCTGATACCAAATGAGAGACTCCCCCCTGGGCACACAGAAGACGGGGCGACTTGGAAGGCGCTGAACAGACTGCGCTCTGGCACCACGAGATGCAGAGCCAACCTCAAGAAATGGGGCCACAAAGTGGAATCCACGACATGCGAGTGTGGAGAAGAGCAAACTACAGACCACCTGCTGCAATGCAACCTGAGCCCTGCTACATGCACAATGGAGGACCTTCTTGCAGCAACACCAGAGCACTCCAAGTGGCCAGATACTGGTCAAAGGACATTTAATCAACTACCAAAATCACACATTTTGTATTTTCTCTGTTTGTTTGTTTGCTTTGTTCTATTAGAAATGTAATATAATTGACTGGCTGCCCTGACACGAGAAATAAAATATTACTTTCCACAAACGAACATTACATTTTTATTTATATAGATATTTACATAGTGGTCCCTCTAAAACACAGACGTGTGCTTTTCATCTTAAGAACAGACAAGTATCTCAAGCTTTGAGGATTACCTGGGAAGAAATTCCACTGGAGCATTGCAGCACACCAAAATACCTGGGAGTTATCCTGGACTATGCTCTGATTTACAAGAAGCATTGCTTGATTATCAAGCAAAAAGTGGGTGCTAGAAATAATATCACATGACAGCTGACTGGCACAACCTGGGGATCACAACTAGATATAGTGAAGACATCTGCCCTTGCGCTGTGCTACTCTGCTGCTGAGTATGCATGCCCAGTGTGGAACACATCTCACCACACTAAAACAGTGGATGTGGCTCTTAATGAGACATGCTGCATTATCACGGGGTGTCTACGCACTACTTAAATCTAGAAATAGTTTTTTAAGATCTACAGAGACACTCGCTGGAACACCTCAGCAAGCGAGAGTCCAAAAGTGGCAGGCTCAAACCCAGAACCTCAATCAATGGCTGATACCAAATGAGAGACTCCCCCCTGGGCACACAGAAAACTGGGCGACTTGGAAGGCGCTGAACAGACTGCGCTCTGGCACCACGAGATGCAGAGCCAATCTTAAGAAATGGGGCTACAAAGTGGAATCCACGACATGCGAGTGTGGAGAAGAGCAAACCACTGACCACCTGCTGCAATGCAACCTGAGCCCTGCCACATGCACAATGGAGGACCTTCTTGCGGCAACACCAGAGGCACTCCAAGTGGCCAGATACTGGTCAACGGACATTTAATCAGCAACCAAGTTTGCAAAATTGGTGTTTTATTTATTTATTTGTTTGTTTGTTTTGTTCTGTTAGAAATGTAATACAATGTTCTGGTTGCGGATGACACGATAAATAAAATCACACTGGACAAATTATACTATTTAGCTGGTATTGCACCACCTGACATCTGCCGGGAAGTAGTACCGGGACAGGAATTGAGATGAAATCTTCTGAACGGGAGCACATACAGCAAAACAAACTCCACGGGGTGTTAACCATTACCTATGCCACCCAAAGATCAAAAATATATATTTTTGGCTGGAGTTACACTTAAAAATGTACCTGTTCTGACTTACATACAAATCAAACTTAAAAACAAACCTACAGAACCAATCTTGGAGACTGCCTGTATATGTTAAGTCTTTGTTGAAGAATATTGAGTCACATTTGACATCACGGGAGATTAATGTAATGCTCTGTGGTTTTTTCTCAACTGCAAAGCACAAGAGACATGTACTATTTTTCTTTTTAAGTTCATTATAGCTACCAGAATTATAGCTGTGAACCTACATGAGATGGAATGCCAAAGTTGTTGCATGTTTCACACTTTCACATTGTGCCTTTTCAGAAAATATCAGATGTTTACAAGACCATTTTGCTTGTGCCAGAATAAATCTGGCACATAAACTGCCCCGTATAACATCATTTTTTTCTATTTCTTGATATGGGCTAAATTAACCAGACAAGGCTTTAAAGTTCATATTCAGTTTGATTCTTTTCAAAACATTTCCATGGAAGGTACCTCTAACCTTCACTAAGTAAAACTACTGTCCTAAGTGGAAAATATAAAATATCAACCATGCCCATCACTAACTTAGAAATGTTTATAAATTTTCCAGGTTTGTCTTGAAAGAAATTTACTGTTCTGTTGCAAGATGCAGTGTTTAACCCACCGACTGGAACTGTTTCCTGACTGCCGTGTTACCCTCATCCTATTTAATGATGTGAAGAATGCTGCCACGTTAAGAAAAAAAGCTATGGAAGGTGCTATTGATGCAGCATTAATTAACCCTGCAATGGTGAGCAAACATCCTAGTTTCTGCAAATAGGTTGACTAACGATAGCAAAGGGCCTATATTACTTGCAGTGATATTGTGAGGTCACTAAACTGATATTCTGCAATGAACATAAACTCTTAGCGTCTACAAGCTACAATTAGGAATGACCAATAGCTATCTCTAGTAACAAGATGCAAATCTACGACATGAAATCCTTATTTCTTTGGATGGACGTCATTTCTCTCTTTCTTCATGCCTTTGATTCAGCAGTAAAAATTCTGTGTTGTCAAAGGCTTTCATGGCTGGATTTGCCAGGTTGCTGTGAGTTTTCCGGGCTGTATAGCCATGTTCCAGAAGCATTCTCTCCTGACGTTTGACCCACATGTTAGCTGGCCTTGATTGTTTCATGTGTGGAATTCCCCAGGTTTTTTTTTAGTATTGCTCTTTATTTACTGTCCTGATTTTAGAGAAGCCATTGAAATCTACAGGCATGTGGGCAATTCCAAGAGAAAGAAGGAAAACCTGAAAATGAATAAAATCTGGCTACCAGTATTTTAAAAAATCAGGATAGTAAATAAAGAACAACACTAAAAATACAAGGGAATTCCAGACAAGAATCAATGAGGGCCAGCTAACACCTCCCAACAAAGGATCCCCCAAGCAGGAAGCAGACAATATTTGAAGCTGCAAGGCCAATCAATGCTAATCAAGTTGGCCAATTGTAACATTCACATTTGCCTCAAACAGGTAAGAGTTCTTTCTCCCACCCTGGGCATTCCACAGATATATAAACATCATTTGCCTAGTTTCCAACAGACCTCACAACCTCTGAGGATGCCTGCCATAGATCTAGGTGACAATATATACAACACAGATATCTATTACTAAGATACACAAAGTATTATGTTATTGTTGTTGCAACTTCAAATATGATGTCATATGACAGGTTTATTACTTATATTGTGTTTATAAGTAATAAACCTGTCATATGACATCATATTTGAAGTTTCAACAACAATAAATAATAGATGTAGGTGAAACATCAGGAGAGAAAGCTTCTGGAACATGGCCATACAGCCCGGAAAACTCACAGCAACCCCGAGACAGGAATATTTCCTCCTTTTTGTTTGTTTCATACATTTGAGCTCATTCGCCCATCCTTTTTCCTTTGGAATAGCAAGGGTTGCCACTGCCACAACTATTTGGGATTTTTTTTGTCACTTGAAGCCCAACCAAGCTATTTTCCAACCCGTTCAAGGTGGCTCATGTGGAGTTTGTATTTTAATATGTGGTCAGTCCTCACCAACTGGGCTAAAATATAGTGACTGCTCCAAGATCATCCAGACAAAAACAAAAAGCATCTCCCCAATGAAAATTCACCGAGCTATCTTTCTAAATTAGAGAAGTGCTCTTAGGTGATTTACTGTGCCCAATAAAATGCTGTTTAGATAACTTTCTTGGTTTGTTTGTTAATTATAGGGGCATTATTTATCAGGAATGGTCTCCCTTTTTAAAGTCAAGATAAGAATGTTGTTCCTCTCGTTCACATCCATTTTCTAAAAACATTAGTAAACATTTTTAAAAGGCCAGATTTGGTCACAAATAAAGATATATAAAATGCAATCTGATATTCTCATCTTTCTTTGCATTTCAACACACTCTAATTTAAGATTGCTTTCAGTGATGGGCAACCTTTTGAGCTTGGTGAGTCAAAATTCGCCAAAAAAGCAAGCACAATTCAAAGTGCTAGTTTTGAGCTATAAAGCCCTAAACGGCTCTGGCCCACTTTACCTGTCCAAAAGTGTCTCTATGAACCATCAAGGACTTTAAGATCATCTGGAGAGGCCCTGCTCTTGGTCCCAACACCATCACAGTTGTGTTTGGTGGGGACGAGAGACAGGGTCTTCTCCGTGGTGGCTCCTCGGCTGTGGAACTTCCTCCCTAAAGAGGTTAGATCTGCCCCCTCTCTCCTGACTTTTTGCAAGACACTTAAGACTTGGCTGTGGGAGCAAGCACTCGCAGAATAGACAGTTTTTATTGGCGTAGATGAGATTTTATGGACTGCATTTTTTGGACTGATTTGGAGGATGTTTTAAGCCTTTCTTGGGGTTGTTGTGAACTGTTTTTAAATGTATATTTATTATCATTTTATGTAATTGTGTATTTTATTGGTGTTTTTATATTTTTGGAAGCCGCCCTGAGTCCCTCTTCGGAGGTCGAGAATAGGACAGGATACAAATGTTCTAAATAAATAAATAACTAAGCATATTATTATTATTATTATTATTTTATTTACAGTATTTATATACCGCTTTTCTCACCCCTGGGGGGGGGGGGACTCAAAGCGGTTACTCAGATGGAGTGTCACTTCGAGGGGAAAAAACATAATTTTGTGATATTTATAGTTTAAATAACAAAAAAGTATAATTATAATATATAACTGCATTTAATAAACCAAAAACTAATTATTTAACTTACCTGCTTGGTGACGTTTTTGTTCATCTGTCAGTTGGTTTCTTTTGTTGGTCTTGATATTATTTAACTTGTGTGGGGTGCCGTGAACTAAGATAAGTGAGGGGGAATTCTTTAACTAACCTGCCTATTAGTGACTTTTTTTGTTGCTGAATTTCATTGGCTAAATCTTCAATTGAAAGTTGGTATTTTGTACACTTCAAGCCCAAGCAAGTGCTACTAACTTCATCTGTCAATCTGTTTCTTTTGTTAGTTTTGATATTATTTAATGCTGAGAATAAAGGCTCCCAAAAGTACATAGATGGGTCTCCCGCGGCATTCCGCTGCTCTCTGGAAGTGAGGTTAAAGATCCCCTAACGGCCTAACCGGAAGTCCCACAACTAGACGCTCTGCACTGGAGTTCTGTTGTTTTGGCCTACAGACCTCAGGCACAGAGTGCCTACACTACACTACAGAAAATGTTTCATTCTTGGCTACTGCACCCAAGCCAAGGATGAAACGTCCTTCTCGGCATGTGGCCCCATACTTCTCTGTATGCGGCTACATGTGGCTGCGTGTCAGTGAAAATGGCTATGCGTGTCAGTGTTGACACATGTGTCATAGGTTCGCCATCATGGCTTAATGCCAAAAGTTTCACAATGAGTGAGATGTTTATAAGCTGCATGTATGATTGATTATTATTCCTGTTTTGTTTGGAATACTGTGTGTATGCAGATCAAATTGCCTACAGCAACCCAGTTAAAATTCTGTATTTCGAGGCAAGGGCAATGGATTGTGCTCCAAACAAAAGCAGAATAGAATAAAAAAAATGAGTAATGGTACAGATTTCTCAAGAAAAGTATGATTATGTTATCTAAAAATCATTAAGAGAGAAAATGTGCATATTTTCAAGACAAGTATTTCCAGAGTTTGGTTTAAGTAGGTGAGTAAGAAAGGAAGAAAACAGGTCATAAAGGCCTCTGGCACACTTTAAGGTTTCCCAAAATGGATGGGGAGACATGAAGAAAGAAGAGAGAGATAGAAGCCCTTAAAAGGAATAGGGACTTCCTCGTTTGGCCTTGTATTTTATTAGAGTAAACATTTTTTGGTACTATTCTAATTCTAGCTTTAGGCCCAGGAACTTTTTTTCTTCATAAAATCAATCACCATGGAATAGATTTACTAGGATACACTGTAGAATCCGTCCACATCCTTATCCACCGGGACTGTTGCACAGCTGGCTGGGAGTCCGCTGCATTAAAATCACTACTGACCAAAAGGTCATGAGTTCGGAGCCAGCCCGGGTCGGAGTGAGTTTCCGACCAATTTGTGTAGCTTGCTGTCGACCTTTGCAGCCCAAAAGACAGTTGCATCCGTCAAGTAGGAAATTTAGGTACCGCTTATGCGGGGAGACTAATTTACGATGTCATAAAAATCTCCAGCAAGCATGCAAAAATGAGGAAGTACTTCATCAATGTCACAAATGGACGGTGAAGCAACAGCTCCCCTGGTGGCCAGAATACCCTCATAAAAAAGCTGGAATGTTAAACAGCCTCTGTCTGTCTGTCTATATATGTTGTATGTCTATGGCATTGAATGTTTGCCATGTATATGTACATTGTAATCCACCCTGAGTCTCCAGTGGGGTGAGAAGAGCGGAATATAAATACTGTAAATAAATAAATAAATCCTCATATTCTAACATCTGACAGGAAAAGCATCGATGCTTGGCTATTTCTAAAACATGATAACAATATCTCATGATTGGGCTGAAGAAAATTGGCCTCTTTTGAGACCTACTGTTTAGAACTAAACTTTCTTTTCTTTTCTGTGGCAGGTAGTTGACCCATTTCAGGTACTCGTGGCAACAAATAAAGCTGTTCATCTGCACAAGATTGGCAAAATGAAGACCAGGACACTCAATGCAGAAATTATATTCAACCTTTCACCAAACAATAATGTAAGTTTCTGCTTATAATTGGGGGCAGTGAACTTGTACACTCAGGCTGGATCTACACCACCACCCTTTTTCCCAGGATTTGATCCCAGATTATTTTATCCCAGATAATCTGGCAATGAAGACTCATATAATCCAGTTCAAAATAGATAATCCGGAATCAGACCCTGGGATATAGGGCAGTGGAGATCCAGCCTCAGGTCACTGCCAGATAATCCACATCATCCAAGCAAAACATTATCTGCTTTGAACTGGATTGTATGAGTCTACACTGCCATATAATCAAGTTCAAATCAGATGATCCAGATTTTATATGGTAGTGTAGATGGGATCTCAGCATGTAGTCCTTAACATCATGAAGCTCTCCAAATACTGCAGAATTACTTTTGCTCTCTTGAGACTCAGTGTACGTTGCCATATAATGCAGATTAACTGCAGATTTCAGAATGCAGACTAACTGCATTGATCTGGATTATATGGCAGTGTAGATTCATATAATCTAGTTCAGTCTGCATTATGGAGCCCCCGGTGGTGCAGTGGGTTAAAGTCCTGTGCTGGCAGGATTGAAGACCAACAGGTCGCAGGTTCGAATCCGGGGAGAGGCGGATGAGCTCCCTCTATCAGCTCCAGCTCCTCATGTGGGGACATGAGAGAAGCCTCCCACAAGAATGATAAAACATCAAAAATCATCCGGGCGTCCCCTGGGCAACGTCCTTGCAGACGGCCAATTCTCTCACAACAGAAGCGACTTCTGACACAACAATACTAAAAGCATTCTATAGGACCATGATGGCGAACCTATGACACGCATGTCAGTACTGACACGCGTAGCCATTTCTACTGACACGCGCCTGCCGGATATTATTTGTTTATTTATTTTATGCCATTTTAAAAAAAATAAATAGGAAAGAAATTATTATTTTGCAATGTTACCTAAATATTAAGGAGTTTCATATTTAAACTGAATGATAAATACTATTACTTTGCTATATTATTCAAATATTAAAATGCATTAAATTAAATGTCAAATTTAAAAATATTTAATTATTAATATTTAGGTAACATTGCAAAATAATATTGGTTTATTTAATTATTAAGTAAACGAATATTATTTTGCATTGTTTCCTAAATATTAAGAAGTTACATATTTAAATTAAATGATAAATAATACTTTGCTATATTACTCAAATATTTCAGAATGCCTTAAATGAAATGGTAAATTGAATTTTAATTTGACATTTAATTTAATGCATTTTAAATATTTTTAATATATGCCTATATATATATGCCTTAAATGAAATGGTGAATTAAATATCAAAATATTATTTTGCAATGTTACTTTATTGTTATTGCATTATTATTATTATTATTATTATTAGAAATACATTAAATAGCATATTAAATGATAGAAATACATTTAAATTAAATAAAAAATAAATAATATTTTGTTGGGTTTTTAAAATTATATTTTTATTAAACACTCCAAAAAGGATATTATTTACATAAAGAGAGGTAGAACAACATGATAAGAGAGAAAGTGGGAATTACAATTATATATTTTTTGTTATTTAAACTAAATATTGCGAAATTATGGTTTTTTTCTTGAAGTGACACACCACCTGAATTATGCTCAGTTTTTTGGCGAATTTTGACACACCACGCTCAAAAGGTTGCCCATCACTGGTCTACACTGACCATATAATGCAGTTCAAACTGCATTATATGGGTGTGTAAATGGAGCCTGAATCACCAAGCTAGGAAATACTTTGGCTTCATTTTTGTTCATGCTTGTGTGAGAGAGACTTAAAGGAATGGAGTGACAGAAAGAGGAAGCTATTCTGTCCTGCAGTGCTCTACGGTTTACCCATGATGCCCCCAATTTACTTTTTCAATTACTCTACAATCCTTCAGATGAAAAGATCCCCCTTCACTAGTTTTAAATTAGTTTTTGCAACAAAACAAGATGTATCAGAGTCCCTGTCTACACTGCTATATACAATCCAGTTTATCTGCTTTGAACTGGATTATAGCGCAGTGTAAACTCATATAATCCAGTTCAAAGCAAATAATGTGGATTTTTATGTATATATCTATTTTGTGTCAAAAGCATTGCATAAATTAGTATAAAACTGATAAAAATAGAAGGAGCATAAGGGGCTAAATATCTTTGGACCAAAAACGGGCAAAAGCAATTGCACTGTCTGTAGCCTCAAACAATTTTTCCTCTGTACATGAGGCAGGACATTGCGAACAAGCATACAGCTGCAGAGTTGTCTGTCTTGCTCCACAGTCGCACAAGGTGGATGATTCTTTTAGGTAGTGCCATTTTGCCAGGTTGTCTTTTGATCTGCCCACTCCACTTTTGAGACTGTTCAGGGACTTCCAAATTGCCTATTCTTGGTTTGCCCCTGGAGGAAAACCCTTGTGGGGGGCCATCCAGTTGGGATTTCCTGGTTTAGCTGCCCAGAGGGATACCCTTGCTGTTGCTGGGGGAATGTTAAGAGGAGTGGTAGTTCTCATGAAGCTTTTCCTTGATTTCAAGGAAGGAGGCTACTGGGAGGAGGCTGATAGCCATGCAGTGGATGGCTTTCCCAGTGTTCAACCTTATTTCTCTCTCAGTTAGCAGCAACTTCCCATCACACATCGGAGCGGGGGGGAGGCAATGCCAGCTAGCTTGTAGAGTTTATCAACAGGTGTAAGTTTACGACATCCTGTGATTATTCTGCATGTTTTGTTCAATGCTATGTTCACCTGCTTCGCATGGGCAGACTTGTACCAAATAATGTGGATTATTTGCTTTGATAATCTGGGTTATACGGCAATGCCGAAGGAGCCTAAGATATCCTTTCCCCTAAAGAGACAACTGACATATTGCTCAACACAATACATATTTTCTCTGCATCATTTTGAGGTTTGCTTCAAACCCCACCTTGGTTACTAAACTGCCTTCATCCCCACAAGACTGAAGATAAGTACAAGCTGTATATTTGATCTTATTCCAACCTACTACTGAATATCTAATATATGTGATTATAACTGGAGTTTTTTAATTTTAGTTCTAAATTACAAATTTTAATTATTATTTCATTATTGGTGATATTTATGATAGAACCAATTAGGAACTGCCATTTATAATGAAATTTTGAGAGTTTTGTTAGAGTTCTGAAATTTTCATCACCAGAACTTTAGTTTTGTAAGTACTTTAGAACCATTTAGAACCATGGATTGACCAGGCCTAATAAATATAGTAAATAAATAAAAAATAAAAAATAAATTCGTCTGAAAGGGAGAAATACATCTGTAAATGGTTTCGTATTGTTAAGATGTGATCGATGGAATTCTATTTTGTCCTTTTATGTTAGATCTCAGATGCCTTCAAAAGGTTTGGCATTTCAGATAGTGACACCGCCGTCCTCATTGTCCTGGTTGAAGATGAAAAGAAAACGGTGAACCTGGAAGATCTAACATGTCAGGTGGAAGGTCGGCAGGCTCCTCTAACAGATCTCCCCAAAATAACTGATCTACAGAAGGTTAAAAAGGTTTGTCTGTGCTTTCCCGGGAGAGGGTGGAAGTGAGGTAAGAGGGAGCATTTTGATTTTTTTAAAAAATGACTGACTATGTAGATGAAAGAGCAGAATCCTAAACATGCTTAAACAGAGATATGGCTCAATAAATTCAGTGTGGTTTACTCCCAGGCAAGAATTGCATCCATAAACATGAATTAGCTTACCATATATACTCGAGTATAAGCCAACCAGAATATAAGACAGGGCACCTAATTTACCACAAGAAACTGGTAAAACTTATTGACTTGAGTATAAGCCGAGGGCGGGAAATGCAGCAGGTACTGGTCAATTTCAAAATAAAAATAGATACCATTGAAATTACATTAATTGGGGCATCAATATGTTAAATGTTTTTGAATATTTACATAAACTGTGAATATTTAAGATAAGACTGTGCAACTCTGATTAAAGCATTATTCTAACCACCTTCAATGTAAATGTGTTTACGTATCCATAATAACAGAATAAAATAAAAATGCAATAATAATAATAATAATAATAATAGAGCAGAATAATAGAAATGTAATAAGAGTAATAATAGAGTAAAATAATAAATGTAGTAATAGCAATAATAAATACAGTGAAATGATAACTGTAATAATAACAATAAATACAGTAAAATAATAAATGTAATAATAATAATAATAATAATAATAATAATAATAATAATAATAATAATAATATAGTAGAGTAATAAATAACTTTGATTCGAGTATAAGCCAAGGGCGATTTTTTCAGCCTTAAAAAAGAGCTGGAAAACTCGGCTTAAACTCAAGTATATACAGTAAGCTTTTTCTGTCTTCTAATTATTTCTTACTCCATATTGAATACAATTAACTTGTTAAAATATACGTGGTAAGGGAGTAAATATCTCAATACAACCTATAAGGCATTTTGGGCATTTTTTAAATCTCAGAATCATATTATTCTTGAAGTCACTATTATATTACCCTTGCAGATGTACAAGCTTACTCAACAAGAAGAAAAAACCGGAATGCTACTGGATGGCATCATTTGTAGAATGGCAACCAAAGATGTTTCATGAACAAATACATCAGGAAAAAAATCGAGACTGTTTATGAACAAATGTTTCTTTTCATATTTCTATTTGCTTGAGGCAGTGCTCGAAAATCTTTATTTTATTTGGAAACAGAATTCAACATTATTTTATTGCAGGGGTGACGTGATCCTTTAAATAATGTTTTTTATTCACTTTATTTGTATATTATGACGTTGCCATTGTATTCAAACTGGCCCACAATTTAAAATACTGCAAACATAATAATAAAATCCAGAATTCCTTTGTCAAGTCATTGTTTATTCAGTCTTTTTGAAACTCAAAGCTGTTCTATGGGGTCTGTCTTACACCCTGTATCAAGCAATAGGCAGCAATCCAGCTTCTCACTGACTTTTAAAATTTTTCATTTTTTTCTCATTTCTATAATCTATCCCACTTCTTCATTTCTAAGAAAAACCTCTACTGCACAGCAATTCTCTCCACATCCCCCAAGTCTCCTTCCTGTGAAAGCTTCATACTCCCTTTCTATAAAACCCTTCAGTTCCTGGAAATTCTCCAGCTTGTATCCATTTCAGTTTTGAGTACCTTATAAAGAAATTCTAAGTTACAATGGACAGCTCAGTGGGGTGATCCATGCAAGTCTGCCATACCCTGCTCCTAAAGTTGTTGCTATGTCTGACCATAAGAGCTGTTCAACAGTGGAACCCACTGCCTCGAAGTGTGGTGGAAGATCCTTTTTTGGAGGCTTTTAAACAGATGCTGGATAGCCATCTTTCAGAAGTGCTTTGATTGTACTTTCCCTGTATGGCAGGAGGTTGGACTAGATGGCTTGTGCCATCTCCCCCAACTATGATTCTATGATCTGCAAACAACAACAACAACTTCAGTTTACTTTAAAAATATGGCACAAAGGGAATGCAGACTTTGTTTCAAGCTCAGTCATGCTTTAGATCAGGGGTCCTCAAACTTTTTAAACAGAGGGCCAGGTCACTCCTCATAGGGCTTGTTCTCCAGACCCTGATCATTTTAGTCACCCTTCTCTGGACATATTCTAATGACTAAACAGAGGCTGTCACACTTTGACCATGTCATGGAAAGACACGACTAATTAGAAAAGATTATCATGCTTAGTAAGGTCAGTAAGAAAAGGGGAAGCCCACATTACAGATAGTCTCAGCCTAAGAAGCCATGGCTCTGAATCTGCAAGACCTGAGTAGGGCTGTTAAGAATAAGGTGATGTGGCAGTCTCTCATTTACATTAGTCAAGAATGACTTGAAGGCAGGTAACAACAACAACAAGGTCATACGTCTCTTGACTGGATTGACATCAGGCTGACCTCTAAAAGAAAAGAGCCAAGATTTTACCTCTGGAATACCTTACTTACTTACTTAGTAGGCGATCCCTCATTGGCCGAGTAGGATAGTCTTCCAGGATCAGTGTTCTGTTGGGTCCATAGGTGACTCTGGAGCCCTATTCTTGAAGAAGTGAGGGCACTGGTTTCCAGGTGGAAGGCGGTCCCGGTCAGGGTTGGCTTGATGCACCTTCCTCTTGGCATGTTTCTCTCTTTCGCCCTCCATTCGTGCCTCTTCAAATTCTACAGCACTGCTGGTCACAGCTGACCTCCAGCTGGAGCACTCAAGGGCCAGGGCTTCCCAGTTCTCAGTGTCTATGCCAGAGTTTTTAAGGTTGGCTTTGAGCCCATCTTTGAATCTCTTTTCCAACATTACATTTTCCGTTCTTGAGTTCAGAGTAGAGCAACTGCTTTGGGAGACGGTGGTCGGGCATCCGGACAACATGGCCGGTCCAGCGGAGTTGATGGCGGAGGACCATCGCTTCAATGCTGGTGGTCTTTGCTTCTTCCAGCACGCTGACATTTGTCCACTTGTCTTCCCAAGAGATTTGCAGGATTTTCCAGAGGCAGCGCTGACGGAATCGTTCCAGGAGTTGCATGTGATGTCTGTAGATAGTCCACTTCTCGCAGGCATATAGTAGGGTTGGGAGGACAATAGCTTTATAAACAAGCACCTTGGTATCCCTACAGATGTCCTGGTCCTCAAACACTCTCTGCTTCATTCGGAAAAATGCTGCACTCGCAGAGCTCAGGCGGTGTTGTATTTTGGTGTCGATGTTGACTTTGGTGGAGAGGTGGCTGCCAAGGTAGAGGAAATGGTCAACATTTTCTAATGTTACACCATTAAGCTGTATTTCTGGCATCGGAGAGGGGTTGGCCAGTGACTGCTGGAAGAGCACTTTGGTTTTCTCGATGTTCAATGACAGGCCGAGCTTCTCGTATGCTTCTGCAAAGGTGTTTAGAGTGGCTTGTAGATCTTCTTCTGAATGCGCACAGGCGACGTTGTCATCAGCATACTGGAGTTCTATAACATATGTTGTTGCAACCTTGGTTTTGGCTTTCAGTCTGCTGAGGTCTGGAATACCATGTAAGCTAAGTTTCCCTCAGTATTTGTGATTTTAGAAGGCTCGATCCTTGAACATAAATAATATGAAGCTGTGCAGTCATGTTCTGAGCAAAGACCATCTGTCAGGGGTTCTTTCATTGTGCTTTTCCTGCATAGCAGGGGGGTTGGACTAGATGGCCCATGTGGTCTCTTCCAAACTATTCTTCTATTATTAAATGATATTTCATCTTTGAAGGGGTATAGAGATTGAGCATGACTCAAACATGCAACTCAATCTGTGAATTAGTCAGTGCACACATTTGTCTTCGGATCCTGTGGCTGCTTGAGAAAGCAAGCAGATCTACTGTACTCATGCTGTGAAATTTCAACAGAAGGAGTGTCTCATGCTGCTGTTTTGTCCTCCTGTCAAATTTGCCTCTGAATCAAATTAAAAGGTGATTAAAGATAGTGGACAGCTACTTCACACTGACATCAACAACATGACCCAGAGACCTACAAAGTAAACCCTGAACTGCATAGTGTATACATTACTTGTAGTCTGGCTAAGAGAGAAAAGATACACAAATCGTATTCCTGGGAAGCATTATTCTTTTGCACTCTGAAAAGCACCAAGTGGGCAACAAAAATCACATGCTCATGCTAAACAGAGAACTTCAGATACTTTTACCCTGAAGGTGCTAGAAAGCTAGAAAAGGGCCACCTGGTTGAAACCCATGCGCTTTGAGCCAAGACCGTGCCATCCTTCAAGCCTGATTCTTTCCTGATCAGGACATATGAATTTCAGAACATACTATATGATATGGAAGGAAGAGGAAACACATGCAATGCAAAATAATGCCTGAGAAAGAGGTGTAAAATATGCCAAGCTAAATGCTGTAGGGAACCCAACAGATATGCTCCATCTGATCACCTACAAAAACCGGTATCAGCCAGCAAGCCAACATGTTATATAAATAAATAGTTTCCTAAGATCTACAGCGATATTTGCAGGAACACCTCAGCAAGCAAGAGTCCAAAAGTGGCAGGCTAAAACCCAGAACCTCAATCAGTGGCTGATACAGGATGAGAAATTCCCCCTAAGCACACAGAATACCAGTGTTGTGACTCAGCTGGAATCAGAGAGTGATAGTGTCAATGATTCTGATGGGGATGATGGGATTCAGATTCAAGCCAGGTGCAAAGCAATGATGTCCCTGTGATAGACGAAGAAGACCAGGAACAGGAGGCAGAAGTTCAGTTGTTTTCCTACAGCAAGAGATGACGCTGTTGAAAGTGAAACTACTGAGAGACAGGAAGGGAGGACAGTTCTCAGCCAGATAATTCTCAGCCAGATAATTCTCAGCCAGATAATGAGGAGAAAAGCACTAATGAGGGAATTGACCTTGATGCAGCCGGAGGTTTAGATCAAGCTGATCACTTTGAATTTAAGGTTCGAAGGAGTGTCAGGATCACTAGCAGGCAAGAGAGGGAGGCTCGGGGCCATAGAAATGCCTTCATGTTGTCCAAAGAGTAGTAAATAGGCTGTTTGAACATGCCTCAGTGTCAGAGGAACTTCCCACTTCATGCAAGAGACTTTGGATTTATCTTGCAGCTTTCATGTTCATGTTTCAGGACTTTGTCATGTTCTCATGGGACTTTGCCTTGCCTGTGTCTTCATGGATCTTGTTTGCCTATGTTACCTTGGATTGATCTTTTGAAATATACTTTTGCCTTTTTGAACCTTTTAACTTTTACTTTAATAAACCATAAAGACTACTGCTGGTGTGTTCTTTGCTGTCTTAAGCAAGGTGATTTTACTCTGACGTGCGACAACCGAGCGATTTGGAAGGCGCTGAACAGACTGCACTCTGGCACCACAAGATGAAGAGCTAACCTTAAGAAATGGGACTACAAAGTGGAGTCCGCAACATGCGAGTGTGGAGCAGAGCAAACCACAGACCACCTACTACAATGCAGCCTGAGCCCTGCCACATGCACAATGGAGAACCTTCTCAGAGTAACACCATAGGCACTCCAAGTGGCCAGTCAATTATTATTATTATTTATTTATTAACTTTATTTGTACCCCGCTACCATCTCCCCAAGGGACTTGGTGCGGCTTACTTGAGGCCGAGCCCAAACACAACAATACAAGCAATAAAACAACAATACAAGCAATTAAAAAACATAGACAATAAGATAAACAACATTATCAATAAAACAACACACAATTAAAAACAGAGGGGAGGCCAAATGTAAAGTTAAAATTGGAAATATGCTGGGACATGAACGGAAGATGATACTGGTGTTTGTGAAAGGGCATACGAGCAGACTTAGAAAATGTAAAGTGCTTTGGAGGACAAAGTGCTATGGAATCAATTATTGCAGGAAGGCACACTGGAACAACCACGTCTTCAAGCTCCTCCTAAAGACTGCCAAAGTTGGGGCCTGTCTGATGTCTTTAGAAAGTGAGTTCCAGAGTCGAGGGCCCACCACCGAAAAGGCCCTCTCTCTCGTCCCCACCAATCGCGCCTGCGATGCTGGCGGGATCGAGAGCAGGGCCTCCCCGGATGATCGAAGGGATCGTGTGGGTTCGTATACAGAGATGCGGTCACGCAGGTAGGCGGGTCCCAAACCGTTCAGGGCTTTGTAGGTAAGAACCTGCACCTTGAATTGGGTCCGGTAGATGAAAGGCAGCCAGTGGAGCTCCTTAAATAGGAGGGATGACCTCTCTCTGTAAGGAGCCCCGGTTAACAACCTGGCTGCCACCCGTTAGATCATCTGAAATTTCTGGGCCGTTTTCAAGGGCAGCCTCACGTAGAGTGCATTGCAGTAATCCTGTCTAGAGGTGACTAAGGCGTGGACCACCTTGGCCAGATCCGCCTTCACGAGGT